GTTCTGGGCTACTGTAGGGCCCTGCTTATACAGCAGGTTAGGTTCTGGGCTACTGTAGGGCCCTGCTTATACAGCAGGTTAGGTTCTGGGCTACTGTATGGCCCTTCTTATACAGCAGGTTAGGTTCTGAGCTACTGTAGGGACCTGCTTATACAGCAGGTTAGGTTCTGGGCTACTGTAAGGCCCTGCTTATACAGCAGGTTAGGTTCTGAGCTACTGTAGGGCCCTGCTTATACAGCAGGTTAGGTTCTGAGCTACTGTAGGGCCCTGCTTATACAGCATGTTAGGTTCTGAGCTACTGTAGGGCCCTGCTTATACAGCAGGTTAGGTTCTGAGCTACTGTAGGGCCCTGCTTATGCAGCATGTTAGGTTCTGAGCTACTGTAGGGCCCTGTTTATACAGCAGGTTAGGTTCTGAGCTACTGTAGGGCCCTGCTTATACAGCAGGTTAGGTTCTGAGCTACTGTAGGGCCCTGCTTATACAGCAGGTTAGGTTCTGAGCTACTGTAGGGCCCTGCTTATACAGCAGGTTAAGTTCTGGGCTACTGTAGGGCCCTGCTTATACAGCATGTTAGGTTCTGGGCTACTGTAGGGCCCTGCATATACAGCAGGTTAGGTTCTGAGCTACTGTAGGACCCTGCTTATACAGCAGGTTAGGTTCTGGGCTACTGTAGGGCCCTGCTTATACAGCAGGTTAGGTTCTGAGCTACTGTAGGGCCCTGCTTATACAGCAGGTTAGGTTCTGAGCTACTGTAGGACCCTGCTTATACAGCAGGTTAGGTTCTGGGCTACTGTAGGACCCTGCTTATACAGCAGGTTAGGTTCTGGGCTACTGTAGGGCCCTGCTTATACAGCAGGTTAGGTTCTGAGCTACTGTAGGGCCCTGCTTATACAGCAGGTTAGGTTCTGGGCTACTGTAGGACCCTGCTTATACAGCAGGTTAGGTTCTGAGCTACTGTAGGACCCTGCTTATACAGCAGGTTAGGTTCTGGGCTACTGTAGGACCCTGCTTATACAGCAGGTTAGGTTCTGAGCTACTGTAGGACCCTGCTTATACAGCAGGTTAGGTTCTGAGCTACTGTAGGACCCTGCTTATACAGCAGGTTAGGTTCTGGGCTACTGTAGGACCCTGCTTATACAGCAGGTTAGGTTCTGAGCTACTGTAGGGCCCTGCTTATACAGCAGGTTAGGTTCTGAGCTACTGTAGGACCCTGCTTATACAGCAGGTTAGGTTCTGGGCTACTGTAGGACCCTGCTTATACAGCAGGTTAGGTTCCAGGCTACTGTAGAGCCCTGCTTATACAGCAGGTTAGGTTCTGAGCTACTGTAGGGCCCTGCTTATACAGCAGGTTAGGTTTTGAGCTACTGTAGGACCCTGCTTATACAGCAGGTTAGGTTCTGGGCTACTGTAGGACCCTGCTTATACAGCAGGTTAGGTTCCAGGCTACTGTAGAGCCCTGCTTATACAGCAGGTTAGGTTCTGAGCTACTGTAGGGCCCTGCTTATACAGCAGGTTAGGTTTTGGGCTACTGTAGGACCCTGCTTATACAGCAGGTTAGGTTCTGAGCTACTGTAGGGCCCTGCTTATACAGCAGGTTAGGTTCTGAGCTACTGTAGGACCCTGCTTATACAGCAGGTTAGGTTCTGGGCTACTGTAGGACCCTGCTTATACAGCAGGTTAGGTTCCAGGCTACTGTAGAGCCCTGCTTATACAGCAGGTTAAGTTCTGAGCTACTGTAGGGCCCTGCTTATACAGCAGGTTAGGTTCTGGGCTACTGTAGGGCCCTGCTTATACAGCAGGTTAGGTTCTGAGCTACTGTAGGGCCCTGCTTATACAGCAGGTTAGGTTCTGGGCTACTGTAGGACCCTGCTTATACAGCAGGTTAGGTTCTGGGCTACTGTAGGACCCTGCTTATACAGCAGGTTAGGTTCCAGGCTACTGTAGAGCCCTGCTTATACAGCAGGTTAGGTTCTGAGCTACTGTAGGGCCCTGCTTATACAGCAGGTTAGGTTCTGGGCTACTGTTGGACCCTGCTTATACAGCAGGTTAGGTTCTGAGCTACTGTAGGGCCCTGCTTATACAGCAGGTTAGGTTCTGAGCTACTGTAGGACCCTGCTTATACAGCAGGTTAGGTTCTGAGCTACTGTAGGGCCCTGCTTATACAGCAGGTTAGGTTCTGAGCTACTGTAGGACCCTGCTTATACAGCAGGTTAGGTTCTGGGCTACTGTAGGGCCCTGCTTATACAGCAGGTTAGGTTCTGAGCTACTGTAGGGCCCTGCTTATACAGCAGGTTAGGTTCTGAGCTACTGTAGGACCCTGCTTATACAGCAGGTTAGGTTCTGGGCTACTGTAGGGCCCTGCTTATACAGCATGTTAGGTTCTGGGCTACTGTAGGACCCTGCTTATACAACAGGTTAGGTTCTGGGCTACTGTAGGGCCCCACTTATACAGCAGGTTAGGTTCTGGGCTACTGTAGGACCCCACTTATACAGCAGGTTAGGTTCTGGCCTACTGTAGGGCCCCACTTATACAGCAGGTTAGGTTCTGGGCTACTGTAGGGCCCCACTTATACAGCAGGTTAGGTTCTGGGCTACTGTAGGGCCCCACTTATACAGCAGGTTAGGTTCTGGGCTACTGTAGGGCCCCACTTATACAGCAGGTTAGGTTCTGGGCTACTGTAGGGCCCCACTTATACAGCAGGTTAGGTTCTGGGCTACTGTAGGGCCCCATTTATACAGCAGGTTAGGTTCTAGGCTACTGTAGGGCCCCACTTATACAGCAGGTTAGGTTCTGGGCTACTGTAGGGCCCCACTTATACAGCAGGTTAGGTTCTGGGCTACTGCTGTAAAGCAAAAATCACTGTAAAGTGAATCATAGCTTTTTTCACTTTCAAATGCATATAAAAGCCTGATAACATGGTTTACACTCATACATTAAGTGAACAATAGAGGTATGTCTAAAAAATACATATATAGCAATAGATATAGCAATGTGGCAGATGTTGCAAGTATATGGAATAGGTAGTAAGTTACTAAATGCTGTAAAGAGTTTTTATGAGGATAGTGAGGCTCAGGTTAGGGTGTGTAGAAGAGAGGGAGACTACTTCCCGGTAAAAGTAGATCTTAGACAGGGATGTGTAATGTCACCATGGTTTAAACGTTTAACCCTTAAACGGTCCAAACGTATATATACATTTTTTTCAACATTTGAAAGTACTATGTAAAAAAAATGTACATCATCCTTTTTTTTTTTACATTTGAAAATGTGTAAAAAAAACTTTTATCTACATTTTTTTTTATATTTTTTTTTTTTTTTTCAAATTAAATCATATCCTTTATTTTTTTGTACAGTACAGTGTGTAGTTCACATGTAATAAGATATTGTCAAGCACAAAGAAAGCCACTAGCATGTATGAGCATATGTATTTATGGTCATTAAATGTATACAAATAAGTATATAATGAATTAGATATATTATATGAAAATATGTAAAAAAAAACATAGATCTACTTTTGGGGCACTATGGATATGAACGTCGATCTATTTGGACCGTTTAAGGGTTAATATATTTATAGATGGGGTTGTAAAAGAAGTAAATGCTAGGGTGTTCGGGAGAGGGGTGGGATTAAATTATGAGGAATCAAATACAAAATGGGAATTGACACAGTTACTTTTTGCTGATGATACTGTGCTTATGGGAGATTCTAAAGAAAAATTGCAAAGGTTAGTGGATGAGTTTGGGAATGTGTGTAAAGGTAGAAAGTTGAAAGTGAACATAGAAAAGAGTAAGGTGATGAGGGTATCAAATGATTTAGATAAAGAAAAATTGGATATCAAATTGGGGAGGAGGAGTATGGAAGAAGTGAATGTTTTCAGATACTTGGGAGTTGACGTGTCGGCGGATGGATTTATGAAGGATGAGGTTAATCATAGAATTGATGAGGGAAAAAAGGTGAGTGGTGCGTTCAGGTATACGTGGAGACAAAGAACATTATCTATGGAGGCAAAAAAGGGAATGTATGAAAGTATAGTAGTACCAACACTCTTATATGGGTGTGAAGCTTGGGTTGTGAATGCAGCAGCGAGGAGGTGGTTGGAGGCAGTGGAGATGTCCTGTCTAAGGGCAATGTGTGTTTTAAATATTATACAGAAAATTCGGAGTGTGGAAATTAGGAGAGGGTGTGAAGTTAATAAAAGTATTAGTCAGAGGGCTGAAGAGGGGTTGTTGAGGTGGTTTGGTCATTTAGAGAGAGTGGATCAAAGTAGAATGACATGGAGAGCATTTACATCTGTAGAGAAGGAAGGCGGGGTAGGGGTCATCCTCGAAAAGGTTGGAAGGAAGGGGTAAGGGAGGTATTGTGGGCGAGGGGCTTAGACTTCCGGCAGGCATGCATGAGCGTGTTTGATAGGAGTGAATGGAGACGAGTGGTACGTATTTGGGACCTGACGATCCGTTGGAGTGTGAGCAGGGTAATATTTAGTGAAGGGATTCAGGGAAACCGGTTATTTTTATATAGCCGGACTTGAGTCCTGGAAATTGGAAGTACAATGCCTGCACTCTAAAGGAGGGGTTTCGGGATATTAGCAGTTTGGAGGGATATGTTGTGTATCTTTATACGTATATGCTTCTAAAATGTTGTGTTTCTGAGCACCTCTGCAAAAACAGTGATTATGTGTGAGTGAGGTGAAAGTGTTGAATGATGATGAAAGTATTTTCTTTTTGGGGATTTTCTTTCTTTTTGGGTCACCCTGCCTCGGTGGGAGACGGCGGACTTGTTAAAAAAAAAAATAATTAAAATATTTTCGTCCTTAACTTATAGTGAGTGGTTAATATATTTATTGTAGGAAGTCTGAATAAACGAAGAATGCATTAGTGAAACGCTGTTAAGCAAGACATTGTAAAGCGGGGCCCTCCTGTACTGGGGAAAATGATAGAGAAGCAGTTCAGTGATTTGTGTAAGCAGTGTGGGTGTGCCTAATTATTTTCACATCTTTCACAGGCACTCCTCAAGCTTCTCCATGTAATTCACTCAAACGCAAATACACAAGAAAATCAGAGTCTCGGCGTTACCCTAAGATGAGGAGCCTCACTGCAGATCTCTCGTCAGGCTTGTCGTCATTCTCCACTACCCTGACTTCATCCCTTGTGTCATCTCTAGCCTCAGTGGATTCTCCAGGAGCCAGTGTGGAAGAGTCTCTGACTGCTCAGTCTAAGGTTGGTGCCAGACCCCAGCTGTCACATTTAAAAGTATTACCAAATGTTAGATTTGATGAGGCTACAACATATGCGTTGGCATTCACCGACTAGTGCACTTGTATATCATGGTGTATGATTGAATGTGACTACATGTATCACTGAAAGATGCTGGTATCCACTTGTCAGTTATTTTTATTAGAAACCAGTGTTTATACTACTGCTCACATTTAGAACATTTGAGCTTGAAACAGTAAGCAGAAGTTATACAGAATTTTCGCAAGGAATTGTGACCGAACATTTTACCAGAGGGCTAGAGGATTATTTGGGTTGTAGCGTCTGTACTTTTGGCAAAAGAAAACTATTGAATGAGTGATGGTAAATGTATTTTCCTCAGTTGGTCACCCTACCACTGTGAAAAATGGCCGATGTAAAAAAAAAGAAAATGTACTTGGGAAGCTATTATGTGTAAATATACACATACACAAGGTGTATGTTCTTTCTAAAGTGTACTACATGTGAAGTAGGATTTTTTTTTATTAACGCATCGGCAGTTTCCCACTGAGGCAGGGTAACCCAAAAAGAAAGAAAAACCCAAAAGGATAGGAAAAAAAAACTCGTCATCATTCAACACTTTCACCATCACTCATACATAATCACTGTTTTTGCAGAGGTGCTCAGGTAGGAATAACTATATCAAAGTATTTATTGCAGTGTTTACTGGAGCGACATCTAAACTGTTGTATCTGAGCACCTCTGCAAAGACTTATTATGTGTGAATGATGGCGGAAGTATTGAATGATGGTAAATATTATGTGTGAATGATGGCAGAAGTATTGAATGATGGTAAAAGTGTTTCTCTCCTTTTTGGGTAACCCTGCCTAGATGGGAGATGGCTGATGGGTTGAAAAATAAAATATGAAAGTTTTGGTGAGAATTCAGTCACCTTCGTGAGGATTTACTTTCTGGAAACAGACATGCAATGTCAGATTTAACACCAAATTGAAAAAAATTACTACATATGTATTTACATTACTGAACGATAGAAAACGACTTAAAATTGAGAAAAAATCTACCAGTCATGAGAGATTATGTTTGGTGATACAAATTAGGCTTCTGATCCTTGGTTCTTACCTGTGTTTCTCATCCAGGCTTGAAGCTGCATTCTTTATGTGGCATATTCTAGATTTCTGGTCTTAATTCTGATATAGGTGAGTCCAAATAGGAAGCACATTTGTCTCACTCTCAGCTGATTGAGGATCAAGCCTCTACCATGTCTTGCACTGAATGACCCACATGAGTTTAGCGCTTAATGTGAATTTCATGATCTCAGTTCTTTGGATCAATTTATTTTTAAACTAACGAGTCATTGGTATTTGGCAGCTGTCTACCTGGACCAACTAGCATGGCCAGCTTATTGCGCTCTGCAGTCCCTTTGGGAAGTTTTAGTTTAGCAGAGCTCTACAACTCCCTGCAAGTTGGAGAAATGGAGGTACCTTCAGATACCCCAAAGTTCTTCACAGGCTCTGAAATTGTAGCTCCAGGGGAGGCTTACCTCCCAGGACCTCACATCTGCTGGATAACCAATAGGTCCTCCTTGACTTATGATGGGGTTATGTTCTGAAGAACACATTTTAAGTTGAAAATATAGTGAGTTTAACATGATAAATGATAAATAAGTAAATAGATAACTACAGTCACCAAATAGATAAATGAACAAGTAATTACTGCACATGTCATGAGAGGCGACTAAAATGTCGGGATCAAGGAGCTAGTAACCCCCTTCTCCTGTATCAATTACTAAATTTAAAAAGAGAAACTTTCATTTTTCTTTTTGGGCCACCCTGCCTTGGTAGGATATGACTGGTTTGTTGAAAGAAGAAGAAGATTGTTTTTAATATAACAGAATACTGCATCTTTCATATAAAATATCAACATTTCACTGTAATGTTTTAAAAGTAGAATATTATACCTTGAACTAGCTTAACAGTGCTGGATTTTCTTGTGATGAGTACCATTACTATTGCTCTCATAATTCTACAAAGGTTGATGGCTATGTAGGCCTGCGAGCCACTGGCAGCAATAGTTTGGTTGACTGGCAGTCGATGAGGGCTGGTCATAGGCCAGGCATCGAGAGCAGTCACTGGTATGTCAGACACATACAGGTGCTCCTTTACTTGTGATGGCTTGACTTGGGATATTTCAGCTTTACAGTGGTGTAAAAGCAGTTACTTTGGAGATGAATCTTAAACTATTTACCAAGCATCAGTGTGACAAGTTCCCATTTCTTATATTCATTTATTTTATTTTCAGTTCTGGTATTTAGTTACAGTAATTATTTGTTTATTTACTTATCCAATGACAGTAGTTATTTCTTTCAACAAACCGGCCGTATCCCACCAAGGCAGGGTGGCCCAAAAAGAAAAACGAAAGTTTTTCTTTTTAAATTTAGTAATTTATACAGGAGAAGGGGTTACTAGCCCCTTGCTCCTGGCATTTTAGTCGCCTCTTACAACACGCATGGCTTACAGAGGAAGAATTCTGTTCCACTTCCCCATGGAGATAAGAGGAAATAAACAAGAACTAGAAAGAAAATAGAAGAAAACCCAGAGGGGTGTGTATATATATGCTTGTACATGTATGCGTAGTGTGACCTAAGTGTAAGTAGAAGTAGCAAGACGTACCTGAAATCTTGCATGTTTATGAGACAGAAAAAAGGACACCAGCAATCCTACCATCATGTAAAACAATTACAGGCTTTTGTTTACACTCACTTGGCAGGACGGTAGTACCTCCATGGGCGGTTGCTGTCTACCAACCTATTACCTAGGAGTAGTTATTTATTTACTTATTTATCATATCTATTCATATTCCACTTATGATAGTTTTGATTTACGATGGATTTATTGGAATGTAACCCCATCGTAAGTCAAGGAGCACCTGTACATGCATACCTTGTTAACACGGCAGTGAGATTCCTGAGAATGCAATTGTTTATTATTGTATTTTCCAGCATATAAGGCATACGAGTGTCAGCTGTCTGCTGGCACGATGTTTCCCAGCAGTTGTAAGGTAATGTTAGTAAACAACTGCCAAAGCATAAGCCAAAACCTGCCTTTGACACTGACCTTGAGCATATAAGGCGCAGGCTGATTTTCTAAGACATTTTGTTTGGAAAAAAAGAGCGCCGTTTGTCGGAAACTCCAGTAAATGCGAAATAACGCTGGACCTCGAAGTAGCTGATGTGCGTATCACCATTGCAAACCATATTAAGAGCAAGGCAAGTGCCAATAGTAAACGGTACGTACTGTATTTTCAAACATATAAGATACACGAGCGTTATGGATATTACAACTTGATTACCAAAATGACATGCATGTCATTTTATAAAACACCACTTGCCAGTAACACAAAGCTTACCCTTGACTGACCTTGAGCATATAAGACCCAAACTGATTTTCCAAGACTTTTCTTGAGAAAAAAGTGCACCTTATATGCCAGAAAATCCGGCAATTGAAAATCTCTGTATTAGCGAAACACATTATAGTGAAGGACCTTAAAGCAAGGTATGTCTGTATATAATGTGGGTGGAATGTGCACTGTTGCTGAATGTAATGTTGTAGCCTTTGTCAGGTAATGTGCTTGTCTAGGAGGAAGTCTCACTGACATTCATCACTGAGGCCTGTGTGTTGTGCAACCATAGTGTGACTAAAGTGCTATCATGTCAGAATTATACACAGCGCTCATATAGAAGAATGAATCTTATGAAGACATTTTGGTCTGACTTGGACCAGCAAACTACTCGCAAGTTGCACTGAAATGACATTGTAAGTTTCATTCTCCTGTGTGCGGATTATTTGTATATTGTTCCAGTTATGGTATTGTGCCTTTTTGTTCTTCATGTCAGAATTATGTCACCCTTGTGACAGAGGCTCAGGTGCTGCCTGAGTTTTCTGAATGTGGGGTCACACACTGCTAGTGTTCTACTATGCTTCCTCTTATACTAGTTCAATCTTTTTTATTTAATTTGCAAGTGTATCTGATTTTTAACTACAGTGAATATATTTTGCTAGATAAAAATAAGTTTTAATGTTGAAGCTAACCCTCAATATAATGAACCAGACTGTAGCAGAATTTTGAAAATAATGGGCAAAAAATCCACTGGATAAGATGTATTTTTCTCTCCCTTAATCTCTTTGTTTATTGTAATATGTCTGTAAATTGTGTAGTGTGTTCAAGTTTTTTTTTTTTTTTTGTTATTTTTTGACATTCTGTTTTATCAGCCACTCAGACAATCCTCCCTATCAGTACATTATATTGAGGGTTTCTTATTTGTGGAATTATTTGCCTTATTGTGCATTTCTCAACCCTCTTGGGCCATGTGTGTGCAGTCATACTGTGTGCCATTTCTCCTGCTAGAAAGCTTGTATACATTGTGTGGTTGCTTATGAGTGTGTGTAGCAATGCTGGTTGGTGGTCATGGTCTCTGAACGTGCATTTTAGCTTTGTTTAAAGTACTTGTAATGGAGATGTGAATAAGGTAAACCTTAATTATTTCAAGGTAAAAAAGGGCTGTACTTTCAAAGGATAAGGTGATTTGGCATGTCTCTTGCTTCATGACTAAGCCATAAATTGCAAAGGAAACTTTAGACAGTGTTTTGGTACATCTGGAAGATGGTCCATGATGGCCTATAGCACTGCCTAAGGTTTTGTCATTACATTGTGGGTTAGCTATGACTAGTTCTAGCTATGGTATAGTGATATTTACATTTCTGTATGTTAGGTGGACTTCAGTCCTGGAGGTGGGAAGTATAGTGACTGAGCTTAAAAGGAGGCATTTTGGGATATTTGCCATTTGGAGGGACATCTGAACTGTCGTATCTGCATACCGCTGGCAGGGCAGTGATAGTACGAATGATGGTGACTTTTTTTTTTTTTTTTTTTTTTTTTTTTTTTTTTTTTTTTTTTTAGGGTCACCCTGCCTCGGTGGGAGACAGTCGGGGTGTTACAAAAAGTTAGTCCAGGTCGGCCATCACTAATCCAGCATCATTGTGACTTGTAGTGTGCTGGATTACAGAGTGGTTAGGTTAGAATACACTTAATTAGTCTATCAATAGAAACTCTCTGCTACATCTTCCTAATTTTTATCACTGCTTTCTCCTCTACTGGCTTGCTGCTGTGGATTTACAGTCATCTGCACAATTTCTGACTCCGTATAATGATGAAATTTGAGTCAGTATAATGATTTGAGTCAGTGTAATGATGAAATTTGAAATTATAGTAGCTGAAATTAGTGCCAGATTACTGATGGAACCAGATAACTGATTGCTGGATTAGTGATGGCCAACCTGTAATGTATAAAAGAATGTTAGTAATGCATAAAAAAGTTAGTAATGCATTGGTTTTGATATGTATGTATAAATAAAAGTTAATGGGAATCAGTGGACCTATTAGTGACTAGTGATGAGGCAGGGCCAGGAGCTAAGACTTGATCCTGCAGCCACAAGGGCCGAGCTGATGCCTCAGTAATACTACAGGTTTCTGAGATTATGCTCCTCGTTGATGAAGAAGTTAATATCATTTAACCGTATCACAGTAAATACTCGCAGTAACTTTATGAAAATAATCTTAGTATGTCTACATAGTCTCTTAAAGGAGAAATCACAATAATAATAATTCTTAGTCAGTATGCCTACTTAGTCTTTTAAGGGAGAAATCACAGTAATAATTCTTAGTCAGCATGTCTACTTAGTCTTTTAAGGGAGAAATCGCAGTAATAATCACAATACAGTGGACCCCCGGTTAACGATTTTAATCCGTGCAAGAGGGCTCATCGTTATGCGAAATAATCGTTATGCGAATTAATTTTCCCCATAAGAAATAATGGAAATAAAATTAATCCGTGCAAGACGCCCAAAAGTATGAAAAAAAATTTTTTAAAACCCCATAAAGTTAATTTATACACAAAAAACTGAAAAAGGCATGCACAATTACATGACACTTTCTTTTATTGAAAAAATCGGTGATGATGATGGATGGAGAGGAAGCATTATTTCTTCTTTTTAGAAGGGAATCCCCTTCCATTGACTTGAGGTAGCAAGTCCTTTTCTGGGGTTACTCCCTTCTTCTTTTAATGCACTGGACCAGCTTCAGAGTCACTGGACCTCTGTCGCACAACAATCTGTCCATAGAGCTCTGTAAACCCCCCTTTCCTTCAGATTTCCTAAAAGGGCCATAACATTGTCATTGAATTGTCCAAGCACGGTTGCAACAGCTGTGTCAAGGGTGATTTTCATCTATAAAGGTTTTGCGTTCAAACCACTTGCCCCACATTTCCTTAACTTGAAGTAGGCACAATGGATTCCCAACCCGGCAAGGCTTCTCAGGGGTTAGCCCCAAACCTTCAAAAATCTTCTTAATTTCCATACTAATTTCTCAACCCTTTTTACCACGGGTTGGCACTAGAAGCTTTCTTGGGCCCATGGTCACTTATTTTCCAGAAACACCACCGAAAACACTGTAATAATACGAAATATTCCGAGTGTATGCTTGGATGTTACCGCGGAGGCTGGCTGGTAAACAATGGGACGGCCGGCACATGTGAGGGCACATTGGACGCGTCTCGGACGAAAATCGGTATGCGGGTTTTTAATCGGTATGCGGGGCAAAAATTTTGCGATAAAAGTAATCGTTATGCGGAAAAATCGCTATGCGATGCCATCGTTATGCGGGGGTCCACTGTAATAATAATTCTTAGTATGTCTACATAGTCTTTTTAAGGGAGAAACCACAGTAATAATTCTTAGTCAGTATGTCAGTAGTCCTAGTCAGTAGTCTTTTAAAATTACAATGAAATGCTTGATTGCTAATATGTCAAGATATCACAGTGAAAATAGGAAATAAAACCTGAGCACTTAACATTTAAAATGTGCTTCTCTTGCCTCATCATCCTGTTCCTCTGAAGTTGTGTGTGTAAGCACATGAAGGCACTTGGGCTTTATTTCCTGTTTTCACTGTGGTGTTTTTTACATACATCTTTGAATGTGCTTCTTACTTAAAGTCTTGCAGGTGCTAGAAACTTTTTTTTTTTTTTTTTTAAAAGTTGAATGATTACTTTTGTTCCATTTCCCTAACACACCTTGAAGGGGTGCCTTCTGGTGAAGGGCTTTTGATGTAGGGAATTGAGGCTGCCCTTCCCTTCCTTAGATCAAATTTGATTACCTCCCATTCCCCAGGTGCTGCATGACTGCTGCGAACTTAACACTTCCCTACTAATGTAATAGTGGCAAGTACCACAATAAAAATGTCAGTTTGTCTGACTTTTTTGAGTTATGCTAATGGGTAATTTACACACATGTTACTATGTATGATAATTATACTTATGTGTACCTGTACCTAAATAAACATAGTGATTTATAAGGTTGGTTATTTTATATCTATATCTGGAATATTTTCATATAGTCGGACTTGAGTCCTGGAAATGGGAAGTACAATGCCTGCACTTTAAAGGAGGGGTTTGGGATATTGGCAGTTTGGAGGGATATGTTGTGTATCTTTATATGTGTATGCTTCTAGACTGTTGTATTCTGAGCACCTCTGCAAAAACAGTGATAATGTGCGAGTGTGGTGAAAGTGTTGAATGATGATGAAAGTATTTTCTTTTTGGGGATTTTCTTTCTTTTTTGGGTCACCCTGCCTCGGTGGGAGACGGCCGACTTGTTGAAAAAAAAAAAAAAAAAAAAAATCTGGAATATTTGACAGATTGCTATTTTTTACATTTTGATTACTCTCACGTATTTCTATATGAGTAGTGTGTAGGTGTAGTGGAAAGTTAGTGGGTGTATATCGTGTATGATATGTGAGTTGTGTTGTTGGCAGCTAGTGGATGTATTAGCCAGATGGTACTAATGTTTTTCCATAGTTACCCACTTGGGTTCTGTAAAGTTGAGGCGAGAGTTATCTGTGTAAGGGCGGAAAAATAGACATGAATGTGGTATAATGCAATCCTTTATTGACTACATTTTACCCACACAGTGGGCTTTATCAAGTCATAAACAGATCTGTTTGTGACTTGATAAAACCCACTATGTGGGTAAAACATAGTCAATAAAGGATCACATTATACTGCATTCGTGCCTGTTTTTCCATCGTGTCAGTATTTTATCCCATTTATCTCTAAATGAGGGTGCAGGTGTAGTGCTGGTGATGTTTTGCTCATCAGGAAACTTGATAGTATCTCCTGACACAGGCATGTGTCCTGTGAAAATCACTCAGTGCTTATGTGTCCATTGTTGTACCAGAGTTAGGGTTTTCTATCCCATCTAAGTAATGAATAAAGGATCACCACAGATTATAAAATAACTACAGATGAAATGGAGATTGCTACACAGGTGTATCATGTGCGGTGCTGCAGTATGCATGTTGCACTAGAGGGTTGAGGATGCACAATTTCTTTGCATTGCTTCTCTTTTAGTCTTTTTTTGTTTCTGCATGCTTTTTCTTTTTTTTACTTCCCTTGCCAGCAGGCAAGAGTAGCGGGCAGCACACAGGACCAGTTGTCACGTTCCACCTCCCCCACACTCTGCTCCATCTCGTCATCCATGCCATCAACCGTGGCCACTATTCCGCTGGGATCTTTAGCGCCCCTGTCACGACAGAAGTACCAAAGGATCCTGAACCTGTCAGCCATGCAGCGAGATACTTCGTCAGCCTCCTCTTCCTCCTCCTCCTCTTCCTCCTCCTCTGACAGTCTCCACTTGGCAAGTGCTGCAGTACCTATGGACACCACACACACCACATCCACCCTACCTTCAACTTCCGCACCTCTTGAAAGTCATTCGCAAGAAATGGCTTTGTCAGTAACTTCTCCGCATTCTGGTGGTGGGTTGATTGATCATTTTAAGGTGCCTTATCATGGCCGAGCTTTAAGGAGTTCTGGGAAATCCAGACTTGGCTTCAGTAAAGGCTCTAAAGTGGGCAGTAAGCACATTGCTACACAGAAGAATGCTTCCCCTCACCAGTGTGTAGAGTTAGGCAGAGTCAGTAAAAGTTCTTCAGTAAAATTTTCATATCTTAAAAATAACACAGACTGTTTGTTAAAAGTTTTTGATGACGCCAAGTTAGATATAGGAATGACTGATAAATTAGATCAAGGTATGACTAGCACCACAGACATTTTGTTAGGAACTAATGATCCCAGAAAGTTAGACCAAGTCTTAACTGGTGACACACACAGCTTGTTAGGTGATAATAATCTTAGTGAGTCAGACAAAGGCATAATTGGTAACACAGACTATTTGTTAGAAACTGTTGATTATAGTGCCTTAGATGAAGACATAACTGGTAATGTAGAGAGTTTGTTAGATGCTGTGTATCATGATGAGTTCGATGAAGGAATGACTAGTAACAAAAACAATTTATTTGATGCTATTTATCACACTGAGATAGATCAAGGAATGACTAGTAACAAAAACAATTTATTTGATGCTATTTATCACACTGAGATAGATCAAGGAATGACTAGTAACAAAGACAGTTTGTTAGATGCTATTTATCATAGTGAGTTAGATCAAGGAATGACTAGTAACAAAGATAGTTTGTTAGATGCTATTTATCATAGTGAGTTAGATCAAGGAATGACTAGCAACACAGACAGTATCTTAGATGAAGATACAGCTAGCATGAGCAATGCACATGGTATGTCTGATGAGGTAAACAGCCATTTCCAGTATTCAGAAAATAGTTGCATTTTAGAAAATGTTTGGGAAGAGACATTTAATGAAGCTTTTTCAGATTTCAGTAAAACCACTAATAAGGTTGTAATTGATCAACAAACAGGGAAATCATATTGGCTACTAGGCGGACCTCCGTTAGTCAATGATGAGTTGAGTTGCTTTGTAAACAACACATGTTTGAGTAGTGATAAAAGAGGCAGCAATTGGTTTGATGACATAGTATTTGCATCTGACGATCAATGTAGTGATATTGTCGATAATTGGATATCTGGCCAGTGTCTCTGGCAACCTGGCAGTGGTGTTACACCTGTGGTGGGTAGTGAAGGCAGTGAGTTGCTCAAGTCTAGTAGGGATGATGGTATATGGAATACTTCTTCACAGTGGTATACTGAAGGCATTAGAGTTCCATCTGACAGTAATGATATATGGAATGTTTCTTCACAGTGGTATACTGAAGGTGTTAGGGCTCCATCTGACAGTAATGTCTTTTCTAATGATATATTTTCCCGGCCTCATCAATCAGAAATCTCAACTTCCGAGTCCATTGGCATCACCACCACCTCTCCTACCCTTGTGTCAAGCTCCGAAAGAAGTCCGATTCTACGTCAAAGACTTAGCGTAAGTGAGCCAGCTGATGAAAGCAAGCCAGCTGCTGTAAGTGAGCCAGTTGGTGTAGGTGAGCTAATTGGTGTAAGTGAGCCAGGTAGTGTAAGTGAGCCATCTGGTGAAAGTGAGCCAGCTGGTGTAAGTGAACCAGCTGAGCTCTGTTTGGCTTGTGCATTGGAAAGTGGTTGTCCACACCAGATGCATGTGGAACTGCCCTCAGAATATGCTTCATACACTCACAAAAATAACCCCATGGCAAGCTTTTCTAACCTGGATATAAGGTGTGAAAATGCCAAAATCACTCTTGATTCTTCTTGTTTATTATCTGGAAATGTGGGTTTTTTCAGTCATGAATTTGGAGACCTTTCCTGGTCCTTTCTGGGAAGTCCTGAGGTTTTGTTTGATGACAACTATGAATTTCAACATAACTGTGTGAATAGGGAATCAGATCCAAGCATTTTTGGAAACTTAATGTGCGATACAGGTGAGCAGTGTGAACGTAAAGGTAAGACTGGTTCATTAGATGAAACGACAGGGGTTCGTGGTTTGAGTGATTCTTGCATCCTCAGAATCTGCTCCCCTTCCTGTTACTGCTCAGCTAACACTACACTACAAAGTTCTGAATCTCCCAAGATGGTTACTCTAGTTCCATTTGTGGGTGCAGATCACAAAATCCCCAAGATAGAGGTGTCACCAAATGATTTAATGAACCCTGATACCAGAGGTCAGTGGATGACAGAAAATTGCAAGCAGGCGACTAAGTATGACACAGTCGGTCTAAACAAGTCTCAAGTTATTGATTTCACTTCTGATCCAATAGAAAAGTGTCCATCCCTGTCATCCAAACATGAAGAATTTAAAAAAGCTTTTTCTGGGGCTAGCAAAGATGTAAAAAAAGAGCAGACAGAAGTTGTGTCCTTACAATCGGTGTCTATGCAAGATGTCATTAGGCGGAGTTATAATCCACGTTTTAAAATTAGGGCCAAACACAGCTTCAAGAATTTACAAAGACATTTTTACAAGTTTGACTCCAGTTCTGAGCATAAACCTCAAAAGAGCATAGCCATCAATCAAAATAATGTTTCTAAATCACCAGAGAAAAATATTTTGCCAGCAGGCACACACATCAGCGGTACTTTTCAGGAAATTTTATCTGAAGGTAAAAATCCATCGTGCGAGGAAGCTTCCAGCTTTACACCAATCACTGGTCTTAGTAACTGTAATGACTGGGTTATGCATTCTCTCAAAAAGAAAAATCCTGCAAGGGAAGACTGGGTCAAGATGTTGGAGTATGGGAGTGAGGTAACCCTTACTGACTCTCATCACCTTGCAACCAAAAAGTCTGGGAGAGAACTGGATGAAAATTACGTTCCTGGAGTTGTTGAGTTTCTGAGTCCACAGAGGGAAGGTGACAGAGATGAGAGTGACTCCTACGCATATGATGGCAGAAAGGAATTAATGACCAGACGAGAGGGAAGCTTTGTTAGAGAGAGAACCTCAGAGGTAGGTAGGAACATGTCTGGAGAGGATGAAGAAAAATGTTTACAAGTGACAAAGATATCCAGTGAAGATACAGAGCGTGCTACAGAATTTTCTGCAGTGCGTGCTCCACTGCATGCAACTGAATATACCAAGTGTGCTACAAGGCTTGCAACTGAGTATACTGAGTGTGCTACAAGGCATGCAACTGAGTATACTAAGTGTGCTACAAGGCATGCATCTGATCTTGATAAGCTTGCTACATTGTGTAATGTCAACACTAGAGTTGATGCTAGCATTAATAGCAGTGGTGTAATTTGCAGTGCCAGGGAGAAGAGGGTTAATTCCATCATATCAGGGAAGACTACCCATCCAAAGGCACCAGCATATCCAGCTGAGGCAATACTATCTTCAGGGAATCAACATTTAAACTTATTTAAAGCTTTATCTGTTCAAGAACAGTCAGTATATTCTAAATTGGAACCTTTGAGACCTAGAAGACTGACTTGCAACAATAAGAACAATACCAAGTTTTCCAAATTAGAAAAAGCAATTAAAACACAAAGCAGCAGAAACAAAAATGAAAACTATTCGAATACCACCATTGTAAAGCCTCTTTCACAGCCTACACCTTTGATCAAAGCCACACTGTCAGAATACAATGTAAAGCCTGTGGTTGGAATATCACTTCCTACCAGTGATCACATACAAGTAACTTCCCACGGAACACAGTGCTCATCCATTCACAAAACAATACACACGAATAAACTGTCTAAGCACAGCACTTGCACAAACCCTAGTCTGGAAGCTTCTTGGAGTAAGGAAACAAAGGAGGGCATCAGAAGGATCATCCACGTCAGTAGATCAGAGCCCCAGAGGCTGGTGGAGTCCATTTATGATTCCCAGCATCAGCGTGCATGCTCGAGGCGGAAACGGAGAAAGCGTCGCAGAGTTGTCCCACAGTTGCAAGAGATGGTGTGCTCTAGAAGGGGCCGCTTCCCTAGGTCTTGCAAAGGGAGGTCATACACTCATTTTATATGACCAGTTCTGAGAGACCGATAATTACCAATCTGTATATTATATACGTAGCGAGTTGTGAACAATATTAACATCACCATGACTGCAGCAATTGTAAACAAGAACACTCACAACACCATGACTGCAACAATTGTAAACAAGAACAACCACAACACCATGACTGCAAAAATTGTAAATAAGTCACAACACCATGACTGCAAAAATTGTAAATAACAGTCACAACACCATGACTGCAAAAATTGTAAATAACAGTCACAACACCATGACTGCAAAAATTGTAAATAACAGTCACAACACCATGACTGCAAAAATTGTAAATAACAGTCACAACACCATGACTGCAAAAATTGTAAATAACAGTCACAACACCATGGCTGCAAAACTTGTAAATAACATCACAACACCATGACTGCAAAATTGTAAATAACAGTCACAACACCATGACTGCAAAAATTGTAAATAACAGTCACAACACCATGACTGCAAAAATTGTAAATAACAGTCACAACACCATGGCTGCAAAAGTTGCATTGTTAAGAGCTATGACTCCATGAAGTGTACAAACATTTCTCTCAGTAGTGTACATGAATGATATGATTGTTGTACAGGAAGCTCTTGTAACACTCCTCTATAGAGTATTCCTTTTTTTTGGGGGGGGGGCAGTGTGATTGAAAAATAGTACATGTAAAATTGACCTCTTCTCCTGTATTAACCTCTTCTTCAGTATTGACCCATTCTCCTGTGTTGACCCCTTCTCCTGTATTGACCCCATCTCCAGTGTTGACCTCTTCTCCTGTGTTGACCTCTTCTTCTGTATAAATTACTAAATGTAAGAAGAAAAACTTTCGATTTTCTTTTATAGATCACCCTGCTTTGGTGGGAGATGGCCAGTGCATTGAAATAAATCCAAAAAATAAAGAGCGCATGGAAAAGTGTTTATAGTATCCACTATTAAAATGTGGATGTACTTTTTCAGATGGATATTTACAAAAAATTACAGGTTGGTAGACAGCAACCACCCAGGGAGGTACTACCGTCCTGTGGTAGTAGGTTGGTAGACAGCAACCACCCAGGGAGGTACTACCGTCCTGTGGTAGTAGGTTGGTAGACAGCAACCGCCCAGGGAGGTACTTCCATCCTGTGGTAGTAGGTTAGTAGACAGCAACCACCCAGGGAGGTACTATCGTCCTGTGGTAGTAGGTTAGTAGACAGCAACCACCCAGGGAGGTACTTCCATCCTGTGGTAGTAGGTTGGTGGACAGCAACCGCCCAGGGAGGTACTATCGTCCTGTGGTAGTAGGTTGGTAGACAGCAACCGCCCAGGGAGGTACTACCATCCTGTGGTAGTAGGTTGATAGACAGCAACTGCCCAGGGAGGTACTACCGTCCAGTGGTAGTAGGTTGGTAGACAGCAACCGCCCAGGGAGGTACTACCGTCCTGTGGTAGTAGGTTGGTAGACAGCAACCGCCCAGGGAGGTACTTCCATCCTGTGGTAGTAGGTTAGTAGACAGCAACCACCCAGGGAGGTACTACCGTCCTGTGATAGTATTTTGGTAGACAGCAACCACCCAGGGAGGGACTACCGTCCTGTGGTAGTAGGTTGGTGGACAACAACCGCCCAGGGAGGTATTACCGTCCTGTGGTAGTAGGTTGGTAGACAGCAACCGCCCAGGGAGGTACTACCGTCCTGCCAAGTGAGTGTAAAATGAAAACCTCTAATTGTTTTACATGATGGTAGGATTGCTGGTGTCTTTTTTCTGTCTCATAATCATGAAAGATTTCAGGTACGACTTGCTACTTCTACTTAACGCTTAGGTCACACTACACATGCATGTAGTACAAGCATATATATACACACCCCTCTGGGTTTTCTTCTGTTTTTCTTACTGGTTCTTATTCTTGTTTATTTCCTTTTATCTCCATGGGAAAGTGGAACAGAATTCTTCCTCTGTAAGCCATGTGTATTGTAATAGGCAACTAAAATGCCAGTAACAAGGGGCTAGTAACTCCTTCTCCTGTATACATTACTAAAGTTAAAAAGAGGAACTTTAGTTTTTCTTTTTGGGCCACCCTGCCTGGGTGGGATACAGCCGGTGCATTGAAAGAAAGAAGAAGATTTGCAAAAATATAAAAGTAAAGGAGCTTTACAAGAGAACATAATACAGGAATACTGCAGCAGGCCTACTAGCCCATACTAGGCAGGTCCTTCTCAAAACCAACTGTTCCCACCCACCTAATTGTCTAAAATTTTTCCTAAAGCCACCCATACTGTGGTGGCCTTACTACACAGCAGTAGTACTCACCTATTGTACAGTAAGTCCTCTGCTTATGAACATGTTGAGTATTATGTATAATATCAATATTGTAGTATATCATTATTATACACAATACAGAAGGTTCCGATGTCTTCAGAAGTCGAGGACTTCCTGTGTTAAGTGATGACTTGATGGATCTCTACCCTGAGGGAAATGCCCAGGTGACAGCTAGCTTTCCA